TTGTTTTATCTATCTTTCATGCAAAATGATGCCCCATTCACATACCGACAATTGACAAAGGACGTAAAGCAGGCGTTCATCTGATCGAGTTATTTTGCATGATCTTTTGAATACCTAAATGGCAATTTTGTTACTCTCTGTTATACTTCAATCTTGAACTCCCTTCTCTTTTATATATGTCTAGCCTGAAAATCTTAATCTTTTCGGGCAGAGCCTTTCCGTGTCCGTATGTACAAAACCAATAACAAGGTGAGTGACTCAGACATATTTATATTTTAACACAAGCATGAGATCAGTACGTTTTGTTTTAAAGGCCTGTCATATCAAAGCTATGGATAGTAAATTATTATATTAGAGGGAGCTTTCCGGGAGCATTATTACTAAGAAGGGGTTTACTAAATTTTTGCTCCTGGAAAAAAAAATTACTGCGATACCCGTAGCCCTGTTACAGCAGTAGAATACTTTTTTTACTTTTTAGGCAAGTAAACAACAACATTTCTGCTAAAAGCTTTCTCTCGAAGGGCAGCTCTTCCTTCTCTGAATTGCGTCCCAAAACTATCTGTAATTAGCTAGAGATAACAGGCAAACAGCGGTGATTTGCTACGATGGGCAAAGAAAAAGAGTCTTCGTACTTAATTAACGTTTCCCCGCATGAGAAACAATATAACTTGAGTGTCGTTAATTAATAACTTCCCTCTTACCCCAGAAACAGGAAAGGGAAGGAAATTTGTCTTAACGCAGACTTGTCAGTTAATATCTTTTCGTGTCGCAAATAAGATAAACGGTTGCTGACCAAAACCGAATCAAAAGAAATTGACAGGAATAAGAGAGGGTGGGTTAAAAATCAAAATACTAATATACCCGGAAAAACAAAGGAATGAAGAGTTCTTGAAAATCAACGTGGAACACTTGTAATTCTGATATTTTACCAGCCATGATTTTTAAGTATCATGACGTTGAAAAGAGAAACCACACTCGTGACGGGCAAAATCGTACGGCTGAGAAAACCTTTTCGCGGGTAAACTGAATTGTCCCGGGAAGACGCGTAGCGCGATTTGATTGGTTACTGGCCTTCCAACCTGTCGTGCTCTGATTGGCTAGTTGTAGTCTTTGAAAAAACTGGGAATCTCCACAACACTGCATACTTCAAAGCTGGGCCAAAGAGATCATGGAATTGAAGAAATTCTCTCTCCTTTTAGTCCTTTTAATTGCACTGTCTGCAACCTTAACGCTTTCAGAAGAGAGTGTAGAAGATGATGCAGCGACAGAAGCGGCCGCAGAAGGAACGGAGGAAGCAGACGAAGCTGAAAAAGACGAAGCTGAGAACGACGAAGCCAGTGACGACGAAGTGAAAGAGGAAGACGATGTTTTGGTTCTAACAACCAAAACATTCGACTCTGTGGTGAACGATAAAGATATCATACTAGTCGAGTTCTACGCACCATGGTTTGTAGATATTTATGTTTCGGACACTGACACAAATTCTCTCTTCTGAGTTTCTTGATCACTTGACAAAACTTCTGATTCTTGAATCTTTGGAAGCAATGCAACATGCTTCGAAGCGATCAAATTTGTCTCTATTTTCATTGAATTTGCTTAGAAATATAAGTTAACTCTTGATTGCATTTAGCACTGAAATTTAAACCTGTATAACGCGCGTTGATCCGCTGGAAAAAATATATTTGTTGATCCTCTTGGTTGGCTTTTAATGCGGGCAATGAATTCAATAGTACTTGCAGGGAAAAAGCCAGACAAATAATATTTCGCACGTGTAGTTTCTTAATGGTTAAATGAATGGAGTATTGAAGTTTCATTATAACTGAAAATCAATTAATTTGTTCTGTCTTGGGCAAGCTATTATTAGCGATATATCCGCATATTTTAATGAGAATACAATGCATTTATGAAGCTTAATTTAGTGCTTTGTTTAAAACTGGGATTGTTAATCAAGGCTGTCGTGAGCCTACTTTTATTATTCATAAAAACACGTATAGATAAAAGAGATCTATCTTTTTTCAGTCCAAAAACGCATTTATTTACATTTTGAGCCCAGAAAAGGCTTATTAGGTTGAATTTTAAGTTTTGAAGCCAGTTCAGTCTGACTGCATGACAATGTTTTTCAAGAACCTATCACATCACGCTCCCCTCTCCTCTTGTCACGTACATGTATACTTCACCATTTCAAATGGCCTTAAGTTTTGAGCCTCGTCTTAAGAGATCGGCATAAATGTTTGATGCATTCATGGTCAGGGACTCCTATTACTTGGATGCTCAGCATTCCTAATGGTTTGAATTCTATATTCCATCTGTTTTTAGGTGTGGCCACTGCAAACAGCTAGCCCCGCAATATGCCAAAGCTGCCAAAAGAATGAAAGAGAATGATCCTCCTGTACCATTTGCTAAAGTTGATGCCACCGAAGAAAAAGATCTTGGGTCACGGTATGAAGTCAGCGGCTACCCTACTCTGAAGGTCTTTCGCAAGGGAGAAGCACATGATTATGATGGGCCCCGAGATGAAGAAGGTACAGAAGACAAGCATAATGAAAAAAAATGTTTGAACCCTTTAACTTCTATGGCGAATGGCAGTTTTTCCCAAATCAGTATTAAAAAAATGATAAATAAATAAATAAATTAATTAATTAATAAAGACTCTCTACCTGTGTACAATATTATATGCCATTCAAAAGCCACTGATCAGGTTATTTAAGAATTGACATTTATTCAGCAGCTATGAAGGAGGTAGTCGTTTTGAAACTGAAAAAATCCTAACACATATCAACTCTCACATATCATAGGTATACCCCTAAATTATAGTCCATTTAGTCTTTGCATTCCATGTGTATCTCAAAAGAAAAATTATTGGAAAATTGTTGGGGTGGTCAACTATGGCTTAGATAGGAGGGGGTCACAAATTTTTACTTCAATGAGCAGATCTTTACAAGTCATTTTTGTGGCAAAAGTTCGTAGAAATCTCTCCTAGATATCCACCAAGTTATGATGTTAGGTGCCAACTGTACTCTTAGGGAGTAAAAAACAATTTTGTCATCTGTCATGTTCTGACAAGAAGTTTTATGCTTGTTTGATTTTTAAAGTAGTGCTATTCAAAAGTTTAATCTCATTTGATTGACAGGGAGAGACTTAAGCTTTAAAAACTGTTGTTTTCATACTTTCAATACAATGTTTTTAATTGTGTTAGTTTGTTCACCTTGCAAGGTGTTCTAACACTTTCATATTGTTCTTAAAATGGGCAAACATCAAGTAAAACAAAGTTATAATTTTAATATAGGAATCCAATTTGACACAAAATTAATTTGGTTTCCAAACTATAATTTACCTTCGGTAACAGTTCTCTTGTTTCATAAATGTATCCCATGAAATATTTTTTGAACACTTTTGAAGTCAAATGCATTTAGCTCTTGATATTTCAATATGGTGAGATTTCTTATAGACTTCAGACAGTTCCTAGTACAGTTAAAAACTCTTCAATTAGACTTAATCTTCAATTTTTAAAAGACATCTTTACAACAACATTTACTTGTACCGAAAAAGAAGTGGGAAAAGACAAAAGGAAATGTTTCTATATTTGTAATGTATCTGTTCATTAAATAATAAAAGGATATTATTTTATTATCCATTCATCATTTTGCAACAAGAAGGTCTATTTATTCCTTACATATCAGTAGTGCCTTTTTGAACTCTTGTGTGTTGTTCATTGATATCACAGACAGTGGTTCTGATCTCAAGCTCATTCATTTTCATTTCTCTTAAATTTAGATGCATGATATGGACACCTCATTAATTAATACCGACTTGCTTCTGTGGTCACTGTGATGTCTGTAACTAACAGAGTTTGATTGTACTATTGTTGTTTGTTATCTTGGTAGGTATTGTCAATTACATGAAACAACAAGCAGACCCCAACTGGAAGCCACCTCCAGAAGCTGTTGTTACACTCACTAAGGACAACTTCACTGACACCATCAACAGCGAATCTCTTATGCTGGTTGAGTTTTATGCTCCTTGGTATGAAAATCAAAACTTCAACCTCTTTTTGACACAATGGAAAACCACTTGAGCTGACCATACTACTACTTCCAACAAACACATCATCTTAATGCATTCCAGAGCGAAACCCCCCACTTCAAGTTCTTCTTTTGCACTGCCTGATTATTATGTTCTTCATGGGAAGACACTGTGCTCATACAGGACCTTTGTCCACCCAGATATATTTAATAGTTATTGGATTATTGAGGTAGCTAGCCAGCCTGACTTTAATGGCTGGGGGATAACCTCTGCTGCCATAGAATCTGAGCAAAAAGGTGTCAAAGCAAAACTCCTGGTTATTTAATATGCAAAAGATCAAATCAGGAGTTAGGTGCCAACCAGACATCAGGTTTGGTAACAGATTTCCAATGTATTTCCCAGGTTCAGTTTGGCTTTCCAAACACATCTTCATTTCTTAATTTTTTGCCTTTTAAAACAGGTGTGGCCACTGTAAAAGACTTGCCCCAGAATATGAGAAAGCAGCCAAAGAACTGAAGGAAAATGACCCACCCATCACTCTGGCTAAAGTTGACGCTACAGTTGACTCTGAACTGGCACAGAGATATGAAGTGACAGGATACCCCACTCTTAAAGTGTTCCGCAAGGGCAAGGCAACTGAGTACAAGGGTGAAAGAAACCAGTGGGGTAGGTTACAGATTCAGGATGTTTTTGCAGGCCTTCTGAGTGAAGTTAGCTACAACGCTCCTCAGAGTGACATCCCCAGTATTGAATGATTCCTATAAAATTGCCCTTTGCCCTTCTTTAAAAAAGTCATAAAAGGTAACATCAAGGCAAACATTCCGACCTAGATCAGGAAAATGTGACCTAAAATTTATATTCCATCAAGAGGATTACATTAAAACAACAACACTTAGTTAATTTTCCATTTTCCAGTAAAATGTTATTGTCATTTCTGTAACTAATAAACCATTACTGGTTTCTGTTATTTGTAAATGGGTTATGTACTCAAACTTCTGTTATTACATTGAAACATCACCCCTCTCCTATTTGAGCTTCTTAAAAACGAGTTGAAAGGAGAATGCAAGTATATGAGGTTATCTGGTTCTTTTAATCTCCAGGTATTACCAGCTACATGCGTGGTCAGATTGGCCCAAGCTCCAAGGAAATGTCTTCACTTAAAGCCATTACAGACTTCATGAAAGAAAGAGATGAATTAGTTGTTGTAGGATTCTTTAAAGATGAAAACGACAAGCTGCTGGAAAAATACCTGGAAGCCAATGATGACATCAGAGACAATTATCCCTTTGCACACACCTTTGATGCTACAGCTAAGAAGCACTTTGGCATCACCAAGAGCTCTATTGTGTTGTTCCATCCTGAAAAGTTCAGGTCAAAGTTTGAAGATAAACAAATTGTGTTTAAGGTAAGGGAAATATAGGTGGCATAAGTGTGTGCACATTCATATCCAGAACTGAAATTAGCAAACTTTTGGGTAAAAACACCTGAGCTATGAAAGATTAATTTTGAACTAACTGGTCAACTCTTGTGACATTATTTGGAACCTTCTGCAGCGCAAGGTTTTCTCCTTTACAAGTTTTCTATGAGTTCACGAATAGTCAATGAGGCATAGTCTAGTTGACTGTTGCTCATAGAAAACAAAGGTAAGTAGTCTTATCGTTCTGGTAGACACTAGAATTACAGCCCAAACCTACAACTTTGTGTATTTTTAAGGCTAAAATTAAGAACAACTTTAGTTCAAGAGCAGTGTGGGCACAATTGTTATTTATCAGCAAATATAAAACAAGAAAAGAACCAATCAAATTCGCAGATTTCCAGTAGAACACGGCTGAGTGGCTACTAATCAGTGTTAGTAGAATTCTTCTAGTGTACTAATGCAAATGCTGCAATCTGATTGGCTGAGCTACTTGTATATTATCAGTCATTAGGGTGCAGTGGCTGTCGGTAGTCTATGAAATACGATAGTTTTATCGCTTTTCTAAAGTTTTGGAAGAAAGTTGATATGTAAATGCATAATTAAATTTCTGCGAAGGCTAAAAGAAGAACATTAAATAATTGTTTCTTGACATTAAAAACTTGAAATTATTGAAAAAACAGGAGCGCGCGCGTAAACAGCTGCAAATTTTACCAAGGACAATTCAATACGTGCGATTTTGTTGAAGCGTAAAGTTCAATAATACGTAGAAGAATAATTGGAAACCGTTATTTGCGTTGATTTCAGTTAGAATTCCACTTAAACTATTAGATTATTCGCTCTCAATTTTTATGAGGCGATAGTTGATTCGGCCTTTGGCCTCATCAACTATCACCTCGTAGAAATCTCGAGCTCATAATCTAATTGTTAATTATTGTATGTTAATTTTATTAACAGGGTGAAGATCCCAAACCCGAGGACATTCAGAAATTTTATGAGGACAACCGTATTCCGCTGGTTGGTGAAATGGACTCTCATGACCAACAAAAGAAGTACACCAAACGGCCTCTGTGCATTGTCTATTACGACGTGGATTTCGGTTTTGAAAACCGCGTAGGTTAGTTGTTTTTCCTTGGTACTTTCCTTAGTTTTTTGAACTTTTTTCCAGCCACCAGACTTATTGGTGAGATTTGTTGGTGACAAGGACGAAGTTCTAAACTTCCAGTAGTGTTAGATCCAGCAGTGATCTAATTCCACCTTACTACACCAACGCAGTGTCTGCAGACAGGTTGAGAGAATAAAGAATTTCGTCAGTTAGAGTATGCCCAGGGATGGGTGGACTCCCATATTAGCAGGACAGAGTTGCTCATCATACCTTTTAGGTTGGTACTTCTTAGGCTGTTTAGCCTCAAAAGGTCCCCAGCGGGAGCTTTTGCGCACCATTTAGGGTATTGACCCGAAAAAAAAAAATTACAAGAGATAATGTGGTGTTTTAGAATTGGTAC